GTAATTGCTTCCTTTTAAATTTTAAATGTACGGGGGGGGGGGGGTTGAGCATGCGCAAAAATCGCCATTCTCTGAATGGCTGCCTATGTGCATGCTCAAACTGTCCTTTTAAAAAAAACACACACACGCAGACGCCCGCAGCGTGTGAGCGGGCGTCCACCAGAGGGCTCCGCAGACAGGAGGTAAGTCTGATCGCGTTTCTGCCGGCATAAACTGCACCGGTTCCAACCGGTGCAGTTTATGCCGGCAGAAAGGCCGCGTCTGAACGCACCCACTCTGTCTTTCTCTCCATTCTGCTTTGTAGTGATCTTTTTTGGAAGAATACAAGTCAGGTGCCCTAGTGCACACCTGGAGGGGAGGGTGTGCATTTTTTAAAGCGGTGCAATTTTCCCATCGCACAATTTCCCTTCTGTTGGCCCCGCCATCTTCCTTGCCACGCTGCTGGAGCACTATAACAATCGCTGTTGTTTTTTTAAGCCCTCAAAAAGCATTCTGTTTGTTGTTGTTGTTATTATTATTATTATTATTATTCTGAACAATATATTCAACAGTACATTCAGAACACAAATTAATACCATGCAATAATCAACATTCTCAACCCGTAAGAGCCTTTTAAAAATATAACAGATCTTTGTAATAATAATAATAATTTTAAAAAGCCTTCTGTTTGCACAGCGGGGAAAGAAGACGCAGGGGGAATGGTGGCCAGTGGAGGAAATCTTCGTTGCTGATGGGAATGCCTCTTGCATTCACAGTGGCAAGGAATACCAAATGGAAATTCCTCTCTAGGTGGACGCAGCCTTCATGTAGATGCTCCCTGGACTAGCTATGGCAGCTCTAGATTATGTCCCCCCCACAGCCTCTAGATCAGGGGTCCTCAACATGGAACCCGTGGGTGCCAGTGTGGCTGCCGACACCTTTCCTGGTGCCCACCAAGTGTTTCTAGGAAGTGGGCGGGGACCAGTGTTCCCTCTAACCTGAGTTAGTGTGAGCCAGCTCACAGTTTTTTTAGCCTCCGGCTCACACATTTTTGTCTTAGCTCAGGAAGGACGGCTCCAGAGCAGACTAATCTATGCAGTAGCCAAATTGCTCACTCACAACTTTAATGCCAATAGCTCACAAAGTAGAATATTTGCTCACTCCACAGCTTAGAGGGAACGTTGGCGGGGATGGGTAGGGTTTTGCCCAGGAAGGCTTCTGATTGGCTCTTGGAGATTTGATTGGCTGTGCAGATTTTTTTTAAAAATGTTGCTTTGGCAGCGGCAGCTACTGCAGCATGAGCATCTTCGCTGTGTGACTTCAGTTAAGCTGCAGCAATCATTTTGTAGCTGGCTCCACCTCCTGCTGCAGCCATTCTGTGGCAACCATTTTGTTGCTGTGGCCACCATACCGTATCAGAATTCCCACAGGCTCAAAAAGAAGAAGACCAAGAAGAGATTGGATTTATACCCCACCCTTCCCTACCTGAAGGACTCTCAGAGTGGCTTACAATCTCCTTTCCCTTCCCCTCACCACAATGAACACCCTGTGAGGTAGGTGGGGCTGGGAGAGCTCTCTTGAGAACTGGCCTGAGAGAACAGCTCTGAGAGAACTTCAGTCACGTCAGCAGCTGCATGTGGAGGAGTGGGGAATCAAACCCGGTTCTCCCAGATTAGAGTCCACACTCCTAACCACTACACCAAACTAGTTGGAGACCCCTCCTCTAGACATAGCAAGTTGCAGGAGAAAAGGAAGATAATAGACATTGGGGACACCATAATCAAGTAAAAATCAGGGATAGTCCAAGAGATTGCTCTGAAGTGCTTCCTCTGGCTCTTTCCTTGCAGTTTCTTACTGCCCTACAATCCTACTTCAGCAACAAGGGCATCCCCGTGGACAGAACAGCTCCTGCCTTCATCTTCCCCTTGATGGAGCATGACACGAAGCATGGAACATGGAGCATGATGGAGCATGGAACACAGGAAGATCAAGCTCTGGTGACGCTGGAGCCCAGGGGGTATGAGTAGATACACCAGGAGGGCAGGTGAGCACCATTCCCACACTTCCGTACTACTCGCTGGTAAATTCAGTGTGGTGAACCACTTTTCTCCTGAAAGGAGGCAAGGGAAACTATCAGGAAACCTTCCATATGTTGGAAAATTTGGTAAAAGTAGTTAAGATATTCAGAGCTTGCAATGGGTCTTTGTTCACTGGAGAGGAGGCATATTCTTTCTATGCAAAAATCTTTATTTCTAAAGGGAAAGGTACATGGGAAATCTACAAAACAACAAACACTTAAAACTACATCCTTACTGTTACAAGTACAACAACAGACTGACTGACCACACGCTTGGTAATGGAGATTCTTCTTTCTTCTTGACCCTAGAAGGAAATCACCTGAATATATTAACCAATTATTGTTAGTAAATAGGCTCCAGTTTCCTCGCTTTCTCCCCATTGGCTTTGCACCAGGTTACCTTCCGGGTCAGTCTAAACAACAGCACACAAGGTAAACACATTAACCCCATAATGACTGAATTTAGACCTTGCAACACACATAGTTCCAACACCATGAATATAGGAAGAGCCCTACTGGATCCAGTGGTCCATCTAGTCCAGCATCCTGTTTCACACAGCCGCCAACCAGTCGCCCTGGGGGCCGAACCTATTGGGTTAAATGTAAAAGGAACTCATTTGCCTTGGAAACACAGAAGCTTTATGCAGTATCCCTGATCTTCCACATTTCCTGGTTAAGGGAAACCGCTGTTCAGACAGATCACAATGATGACCTGACTCCAATGGTAACAGGAGAAAGAAATTTTACTTACAAAAATAGAAGCACATCTTACATGACATATTCATATAGGTACATTTAACTTTAAAAAAGGTTAACTTGCTTCAGCTCCAAGCCCAGGCAAGAGACAGAAGAAGAGACGCCCTATATAAGATGAAAAAGAAGGCAAGCAACGACCAGAAATGCTCAACATCTAACTGATGAGAGGGTGGGGCCAACTGCCAAGTGTATCTGAGTCCAGCATCCTGTTTCACACAGCCGACAAGCGGTCACTCTGGGGGCCAAACCAACAGGACACAGAGGCCAAGGCCTTCCCCCTGAGGTTGCCTCCTCCACTGGGTTTCAGGGGTCTGCTGCCTTGACTATGGAGTTTCCCCTCAGCTAGTAGCCATTATGGACCTATCCTCCATCTAGGAGCCTTGCTGCTGCTGTGTTGTATAGACAGTTGCAGCAGCAACAGGGGAGCTACACATGCTTCTCACTAGGAAAATCAGGGGAAACCTGGGAAACCACAGGAAGTGCACAGATGTGGGGCAGTATTCCCTCTAAGCTGAGTAAGTGTGAGCTAGCTCACAGGTTTTTAGCCTCCAGCTCACACATTTGTCTTAGCTCAGGAAGGATGGCTCCAGAGCCAGCTGATTGATGCAGCAGCCAAATCGCTCGCTCACGACTTTAATGCCAGTCGCTCACAAAGTGGAATTTTTGCTCACAAGACTCCACAGCTTAAAGCGAGCATTGGTGGGGAGGCAGGGAGAAAAACACCAGTCCTGCTTCCAAACACAGTGTGAACTCAGAACAAATAACTTGTGTGGAACTGACAATTCTGCCACGCTGGAAATGGCCAGAAAGCCATACTGCAGACAAAAAAATTAAAGGCAGCTCTTATGAGCGCTACAGGACTGTGCTTAGGGTTGCCAAACTCCAGGTGGTGGCTGGAGATCTCCTGGGATTACAACTGATCTCCAGCCAACAGGGATCAGTTCACCTGGAGAAAAGGGCTGCGTTGGAAGATGGACTTTATGACACTGAATCCCACTGAAGTCCCTCCCCTCTTCCAACCCCACCCTCCGCAGGCTCCACCCCCCAGATCTCCAGGTATTTCCCAGCCTGGTGCTGGCAACTCTGACTGGGGCTGAGGTGGGGAAAAGGGGGGGGGGCAAATTGAATTAAGCAGCAATTATTTGGGGCAAATTACCTGTTTCCCAGCCGTAGTCTCATCTGTTAAATTTCCCCCTTTTTAATGCTAATTCTCTCTTTTGTTGTTTTATTTATCCATTCAGGTGAAATATCGTCCCTTTGATCATGTTTACCCCAGTTCAACTCCACTTGACTACTCTGGGAGTCACAGTCTGACTTTTTATACATGCCGGAGACTTGTAGCTTTGAGGATTACAGGAATGAATGAATCCCTTTGTGTTTTAAGCAACCTCAGCCTCAATAAATTCTGCCTGTGTTCCATTCCTTTGTTTTGTTTCTTTGTTGCTTGCAATAATTACTTTGTACCTATCATGGGGGTGCTTTAGGCCCCTCTTAGAGCCATGGCTCAGTGGCAGAGCCTCTGCTTGGCATGCAGAAGGTCCCAGGTTTAATCCCCAGCATCTCCAGGTGAAAAGACCAGGTAGGAGGTGATGTGAAAGACCTCAGCCTGAGGCCCTGGAGAGCCACTGCCAGTCTGAGTAGACAATACTGACCTTGATCAGCTGATTAGCTGATTCAGTAAAATGCAGATCCAGGTTGGGAAACTCCTGGAAATTTGGGGATGGAGCCTGGGGGGGGGGACAGGGACCTCAGTGGCATACAATGCCATACAGTCCACCCTCCAAAGCATCCATCTTTTCCAGGGGCATGGATCTCTGTCTATGGAGGTGAGCTTTACAAAATTCCAGGGATTCCCAGGCCCCACCTGGAGACTGGCATGGCATCCCTACTTGAAGTGAAAGTGGTAGAAAAGAGCAAGGGTCCAGTCTAGCTGTAGCTGAAGAAGTGAGCAGTGACTCACACAACTTTTGTTAGTCTTTAAGGTGCTCCTGGACTCTTGCTCTTTTGTACTGCTACAGACAGACTAACGTGACTACCCATCTTGAAGTGGAAGGAACATTTCCAACTGTCACACCCACACT